GGATCCAAGATCAGTTCGCGAGCATCTTGGTCAGTCCTCTAGTGAAGTTGGTAGTATGACTCTGAAAGGAGTTAAGACCCCACGAGTTCAGGGAATTCTACTCCCCAGCAAGTCATTCTTCAACCATGCAGTTAGTGATAATAATCCTCAGCAACTATTGCTCTGGTAGCTCCCCCAAGCAGAGGTTATCTTAGAGAGTTTATGGAAGATTTCTCCCCTGCAGAGTTTGGACAACGTTGTTCCTCTAATAGGAATTTTAGCTCAACTATTCCTCAGCAAAATTATCACTCGAGATACTGCTTTGGTATCATCAAAGAGCCTTAATGGATAAGGTACTGCTTCGACCACCCAAAGAATCTCAAGTTTTGTTCGAGATACTGCTTTGGTATCATCGAAGAGCCTTAATGGATAAGGTACTTCTTCGACCACCCGAAGAATCTCATGTTTTGTTCGAGATACTGCTTTGGTATCATCGAAGAGCCTTAATGGATAAGGTACTGCTTCGACCACCCGAAGAATCTCAAGTTTTGTTCGAGATACTGCTTTGGTATCATCGAAGAGCCTTAATGGATAAGGTACTACTTCGACCACCCGAAGAATCTCAAGTTTTGTTCGAGATACTGCTTTGGTATCATCGAAGAGCCTTAATGGATAGGTACTGCTTCGACCACCCGAAGAATCTCAAGTTTTGTTCGAGATACTGCTTTGGTATCATCGAAGAGCCTCAATGGATAAGGTACTGCTTCGACCATCCAAAGAATCTCAAGTTTTGTTCGAGATACTGCTTTGGTATCATCGAAGAGCCTTAATGGATAAGGTACTGCTTCGACCACCCAAAGAATCTCAAGTTTTGCTCGAGATACTGCTTTGGTATCATCGAAGAGCCTTAATGGATAAGGTACTACCTCGACCACCCGAAGAATCTCAAGTTTTGTTCGAGATACTACTTTAGTATCATCGAAGAGCCTTAATGGATAAGGTACTGTTTCGACCACCCGAAGAATCTCAAATTTTGTTCGAGATACTGCTTTGGTATAATCGAAGAGCCTTAATGGATAAGGTACTGCTTCGACCACCCGAAGAATCTCAAGTTTTGTTCGAGATACTGCTTTGGTATCATCGAATAGCCTTAATGGATAAGGTACTGCTTCGACCACCCGAAGAATCTCAAATTTTGTTCGAGATACTGCTTTGGTATCATCGAAGAGCCTTAATGGATAAGGTACTGCTTCGACCACCCGAAGAATCTCAAATTTTGTTCGAGATACTGCTTTGGTATCATCGAAGAGCCTTAACGGATAAGGTACTGCTTCGACCACCCGAAGAATCTCAAGTTTTGTTCGAGATACTGCTTTGGTATCATCGAAGAGCCTTAACGGATAAGGTACTGCTTCGACTACCCGAAGAATCTCAAGTTTTGTTCGAGATACTGCTTTGGTATCATCAAAGAGCCTTAATGGATAAGGTACTGCTTCGACCACCCGAAGAATCTCAAGTTTTGATCAGAGATACTGCTTTGGTATCATCGAAGAATCTTATTTGATAAGAGGCTGCTTCGACCACCCGAAGAATCGCACGTGTTTAGAAACACCATTTTGGTATCGCGAAGGACCTTAACGAATGAGGGACTGCTTCGACCACCCAAAGTGGTTCGTTTGTACCGCTTTGGTATCATCGAAGGACCTTAACAAATGAGGGGCCGCTTCGACCACCCAAGGAGGATCATTTATACCACTCTGGTACCGCGAAGAACCTTATTGGATAAGGGACTGCTTCGACCACCCAGGGAATATCAGGTTATCTCGTTCATCTATTTTTGCATCCTGTCATCCCGTTCTGGTATATCCCATCTCTTTGCATTTTTACTTGCTTGTCAGACAAATTTCGGGGTCTTTTTGTATCTAATTGACTTCCACCCTGAAAATGAACGCCATGCAGTTGTTCATTCTCTCAGGTTCAAGGCAATTAGATAGGGGCATCTGTCATACCCCAAATTTGTCCTACCCTTTTTTTTAAAATTTTTATTTGCCCGATTTTGTTTTTAATTTACCTCGCTTATACAGCGTAGCATATTTTTCAGCAAAAACGAGCATTTTTACCTTTTAGCCCAATAAGAGCATGCCACGTGGCATCTTTTTATTTGTTATTATTTTTATTTCTTATATATATTTTATTTTAAGATTTAGAATTTAAATTATATTTAGATTAGTTTTTTTATTTTATTTTATTTTTTTAATTAGAATAGATTATTAATTAATTAGATTTGAATTGTTTAATTAAGATAAAATTAAAATAGAGTTAGAATTTAATTAGGATATGTTTTAAAAAAATTAGATTAGAATTTAAGTTAGTAATAGTTGATATAATAATTAGAAAACATAATAAAAAGAATTATCAATTAATTAAAAGAAAAAACAAAAATAAATAGAAAAAGGTTGAATGAGAAACATGGTTGGTTAGATGGGGAAATTAGGGTTTAGAAATAAGAATATAAGGTCAGCTACTGTTCACCATACCCTAAGGAATTAGGGCGTTACTGTTCATCAAGCCCTAACTTGGGCCATCCCCCTTTCAAAGAAACCCTAATTTTCGGTTCACTGTTCATTACCCCCATTTCCCCAAAACGGCCGCCGTCCAATTCCACCAACCCTACCTCTCTTCTCTCCCAAATCGCCACCATCATCGTCACTTTCCTCATCCCTCACACGAAACCCCTCGACCCCGTAGCCACCGTTCAACTTTCAACAAACATTAAAACTCCCCCTTCAGAGGAGAAAACCATCATCAGGCGATCTCATTTTTTTTCCGAATAAATCCGTTCGCCTTCCTTTTCTCTTGTTCCCTCCGCTGAAAACAAAACCTCGCCGCCATTGTTACCGGCACGCTTCGCTGCTCTGAATAACGCCTAACAATGCTTCACACTTTGCTTTGCTTGTGTGTGTTCTGCACGAAATCTGCAACAAGAATAACTAAAGGTGTACGTGTTCAAGTTCTGAAGCAAGAAGTTGTAGCTTTACGGTGAATAATACTACTACAGATTAGTTCCAGGTTGAATCTAATTTCTGTAGTGATGAAGACACCGTGAAGACGTCGGTGAAGAGAAGAGATATTGCAGCGTTGGCAGTTTGAACTTTGAGGTGTATATGATGTTTTACGAACATCCCCGGTAACCTTAATATCTCAAGGATCTTGGCAAGGCGTCAGTAAGAACCCGAATTTGGAGGCACCTTGTTTCTGATTTGAGTTCGACATCAAACAACTCTACAACAACAACTTCGATTTTGTGTTTATGATGTTGCAACTCAACGGCTAACTATGCTCTAGCAGAAGAACAACAACAAACGCAGCTAATGGTGCAAGAATGAAAGGGAAGAAACATGGAACAACTCGCGGCAACACAAGCAAATTTTCAGCTTCAGCAGCAGCTCGATTGAAACCATCAACCTTGAGCGTTCAGCTGCAATTTTGAGCAATAACGAAGTTTTCGATCTAAGTTCACAACAACTTCAATAACCTTAACTCGGCAAGAAAACGGTTTTGCCGACAACTCCTGCAGCTACCACCTACCGTTGTATTTGAATCAATTGTGCTATGTTCTACTGATGTACATCAGTACGTACTATGTCGCGGATTCATTGAAATAGGAGAGCATGGGTTATGCTGCAACCACCGAGCGAGGATCAAAGTTGCATCTTAGCTGTGACAACATCACATCACAAGCTTTTATTCAGCAGCAATCCAAATCTGTGGTAGTTTCTGTTAAAAGTGAATTCATGTCGCAATAATATGTTTCGATGTCGATTTGTTGAAGATCATGTTTAGTCATTCAGTCTTTATTTTGTATACACATGTTATTGTTAGATATGTTTGCTCCTAGGAGTTGCTTATACTGTTTTATTGCTTTTGGATCTTGCTCTGTTCTTCACTTGTATTTGCATACAGATTGGGACCTGTTCAAAAGCTCAGTCATGTTGTGTTTCTGATAAAAAAGAAGGGACCCATCAGTTTTTTGGTTTTGCCCTTTGAGGATCTGCTCACGTTTTCTTCTCTGTGACCAAGAAGCCACAACATACCGGCTACAATATTTTGCAGAAACGAGTCGTCAAGCTCGCGTCGGCAGTTTGAATCCAGGACGGTTTGGTTTTGAGCCGACAATGTGTTTTTTTCTGTTTCCTTGATTTTATGCAGATTATGTAGCAGGAGCTTGAAGCATCATTGTACGCATAGGCTCCGTAACTTTCGGTTTCCAACGACAACATCAACAACACGACTCCTGCACGGTCTTAATTTGGAACCAACGGCAACTTCAATATCATCATTCAACCCAGATTTTCGTCAAAGAACAGAATTCATTTTGCAACAGCTTTTGCAAACAACAAGGATGAGCGAGTAACAGTAGCAATGATACTTTGGCTTGACTTCGCATCAACTCGACGCAATGGCTACCGACCCTCAGCTGAACAACTCTTCAGCTTGCAACGGAAAACCCAAAACAACGACCCCTCAATATGTTACAAAGACAACAACCATACTGCCTGCAAAGTCAACCGCAACAATGACAACACACCCAGACGAAATCAACGACACAACAATTGGCCCCTTCCACGGTAAAGGAGCTCACTCACCACCATTCAAAACCTTAGACTCCAGAAGAAACCCTAATCACCACCCCAAAGAGGCTCTCCTTCCCCAAAGCACAGAAGCCACCATAACCACAACTACTTCCAATTCATTCATAGCAATTATTCTTTCATCAACAACAAGAGAGTGAGAAATGGAGGCAAAGGAACAAGATGTTTCACTCGGAGCCAACAAATTCCCAGAGAGACAACCCATCGGTATTGCAGCTCAGAGCCATGACGACGAAAAGGACTACAAGGAACCACCTCCCGCACCGTTGTTTGAGCCTTCTAAACTCACTTCGTGGTCTTTCTACAGAGCTGGAATAGCCGAGTTCGTTGCGACTTTTTCTGTTTCTCTACATCACCATCTTGACTGTCATGGGTGTCAACAAATCCGACTCCAAGTGTAAAACTGTTGGTATTCAAGGAATTGCTTGGTCTTTTGGTGGCATGATCTTTGCCCTTGTGTACTGCACCGCCGGAATCTCTGGGGGTCACATAAACCCAGCAGTGACATTCGGTTTGTTCTTGGCAAGGAAACTGTCTCTAACAAGAGCAGTGTTCTACATCGTGATGCAGGTTCTTGGTGCTATCTGCGGTGTTGGTGTGGTTAAGGGTTTTGAAGAAAAAGTCTTCTATGGAAAAGTTAACGATGGTGCAAACTTTGTTGCTCCTGGTTACACAAAAGGAGATGGACTTGGTGCTGAGATTATCGGTACCTTTGTTCTTGTCTACACCGTTTTCTCAGCCACTGATGCCAAACGTAGTGCCAGAGACTCTCACGTTCCTATTTTGGCACCTTTGCCTATTGGGTTCGTTGTGTTTTTGGCTCATTTGGCCACTATTCCAATTACTGGAATTGGTATCAACCCTGCTAAAAGTCTTGGTGCTGCAATTATCTTCAACAAAGATCTTGGCTGGGATGATCATTGGATTTTCTGGGTTGGACCATTCATTGGTGCAGCACTTGCAGCACTTTACCACACAGTTGTGATCAGAGCCATTCCTTTCAAGTCAAGTTGATTTGATCCAACGGTTTGTGGTAGTTGATGCCAAAACCATTAAACCAAACCAACTTTGTGGGATTTTATTTTTAATTTGAAATTTGATCATTATCTTGTTTTAATTATTTCCCTTTTTGTATGTAAAGGATGATGTTGTAAGTGTAATGTGTCGTTGTAATGATTATTATTATTAGGTGGTGGTGCTTGGGCTCAAGAAGCTACGAGTCAGAATGCTCTTGTTATTGACTTTGTTAAGTGGGCTACACAGTTTTTAGCACCTAAGGGCACGTTTGTCACCAAAGTTTTCAGGTCGCAGGATTACAGTGCTGTTGTGTATTGTTTGAAGCAGTTGTTTGAGAAGGCATCTTTTTCAGGCGTCTGCACAGCCGCAAGCCAAGGTGGTGGATGTACTTAGAGACAATAAGCAAAAGAGGCACCGTGATGGGATCAAGTTGCAACATCAATTGATGATAGATAGCAGTTATCTCGCTACTGATAAAGTTGATAATGAAGGACTCAGTTCAAATACGACTTCGGGTTCTGCGGTAATCACTAATTCCAATTCAATTCATAATGTGTGTATAACTGGTTTTGTCTATTTGTTCTGTTGCCTGTGTTGAAAAAAGGTTTGTTGCATCCTCAACGGCGATAACGGTTACGACGGCATTGGAGCATCGAATAGCAATAGCATGTGATGTGATACAGCGAAAACAACAACAACAACAACTGAGCTCGATTCTTGAAAGCTGCTTCTGATCAAGTTCCATTTGGTTCTCGTCTCAGCTCAATTCTCCCGCAGCAGCTCATTAACAATGCGTGAGTTCAACTATATTCTGCAACAACGAGTGGTCCAAGTTCGACTTTAAGCATAACAGGAATCAAGATGGTGTGATAAGTGCGCATTGTGCCAACGGTTTCGCAACATCAACTCTGTCATGCCCGTCACAATAGCAAGTCCATAGCGCATTTCGTCACGCGTCTAAGGAAAAAACCTCTATCGTGTCCGTTCAGATCTTGTCAATACGGTTTTTTTTAGTGAGGTAACAATTCCTTTTGCAACTCAATCATGTTCACTGATGTTGTGTAGACTAGTGTTTTTTTTCCCACTCAAACTACAGCTCTTGTGGTATATGAACTTTGTTTTGATGCATATATTGTCTGATCTTGGAGTGAGTTTTTTTTTGTTGATATTGTTGTTGTTCAATCTTGATTCAATGATGTTCGCTTGTGTCTGGTTTCCGATTTAATTTCACGGATGTATGGTTTCTTAACATGCATTAATGTAAGATAGGTTGATACTGATGTGGTTATTGTTTAATATGTTGCGAATATCTGATTACCGTTCCGTGGATGTGGCATTTTAACAATGCATATCAAATAACTTTGGGCTTAACCATTTCTTTTGGAATTGGATGTTTGTTCTTAAACTTTGATATCGTTATTTCCTAGTTTAAATATATTTGGCTCTTGTAACTCATCTTATTTTGCCACTCAAATTGCTGCTTATGTTTAAATGTGGTTAAAGACTGTATTGTTGATGAATTCTTCCTATTTACAATGTGGTGTCAGTATCAATAGTACGTAGACATGCAAATTCTTTTCTCATTGAAGTGATGCGGCGCTTTGAATCTTTATTCTGTCAGTACATTCTATTTTGGATCATTGTAGCTATCATTCAGTTTGCAAATGCGTCAGTTTCGATTTTGTTAAGTGTTGTTTCAAGTTGTTGATCTAATATGTTGTGTTCCTCTGTTATGAATGATTTAGCGATATTGTTTTCATTTGTTTTACACGTTTCGATTATCGGATGCGATCTGATTGCAGTTTTATTGTGTTGAGTTTTCATTTCGATTGCAACCGTACAATGTTAGAGTTAAGTTGTAGTTGTTTATGGTTTTGTCCTGTAGTTAGTTGGAAATGATTTTGTTGCTGCTAGTATTGGTGTTGTAAAGCTGGTATTCCCATATGCGGAAGCTGGTGATCTCTGCAGGTCGTGGAACCAATTACCTCATGTGGAAGTCTCAGGATCTACTCAATGTAGAATAGCAATTTGGAACGAGAATTAAAGCCACTGACTCAATATCCACAACAACGCAACATAAGACCACAGACTAGCAAGATGGTTATATGCTGCACTCGGTAATATTAAGCTTCTCATTATGTCCGGATTAGTGTGTATATCAGTTATGATGCAATATCATCTTTATGGTGTATGAGTAGTTGATTTCAAGTGTTGTTATTTCTTCTGATCAAACTTCTCATCTTTTGTGAATTATTGACATGAATTTTGATCGTTTACTTGTTGTTTTGATTACGTCCGCTTATTGTTGATGCTACGGATGATTCAAGGTTGAGAATGAATTGTGTTTGTGCCAAACATTCAAATTTGTTACAGGATTTAGTGTGTCCTGGTTTGTATATTAATCCAATGTTGTTTTATTTTTTTTATTTATTCATGGTGAGCCTTTTCAATAAGCCGAGGTTGTAATGTTTTCATACGACGACCATGGTTCGTTCAGAACATATTGAAGTGTGGCTGGAATTAATTTGAGTGTTTTAACACATACTGCTATTGAACTGTGAGGTATCAGTATTAGATTGGCATTTGTTCAGAGCATATTTCCATTTAAAGTTTGGCATAGATACTTCAAATTATTTGGAAAATTCGACTAAGATAATTTATGCGGATTACCGCGTATTAATGCCAAATATTACTTTCAATTTCGATTAGGTCATTTCTTAATATGTTTAAGCGAAATTTTTTTTCTAACTAATTACGAAAGTAGTAGGCTTTTGGGGTCTAGCATCCCTTGAGTCCTTGAACAACCGCTCTCGAGGCATACACCTTGAGTTGTGGTTGTTCCGTCTTTCGGTTTTCAAATTGTTTTTTCACTTAGTTTCAATGAAATTTATAAAGGATATTTTTATTTACTTTTGGATATTTTTATAAGAAAACTCAAATTATTCTTTTAAAAAAAAATATTTCAAAGTTATTACCAAGTAATATTTTAAATATTAAA